GGAGAAATAGCTTCCTTTAATTGGAGCCATACATCATTCCCTAGATTAATGGGCTGATTAGAGGATATGAAACAAACACGGCCCATGGTAATATATCGGCAGAATAAAAGATTAATGACTTTATTATACAAGTTCATGCAAATGTCTGTCCAGCTATTATTAAAGTATCTGTATTCGATTCCTGGTTCAAGCAATCGCTGTTTCTACGCTGTGACGCGTCCCCATAGATTTCTTCTCATCTATACATATAAACCTGTAACTAAGCCGAATCTGTACATTAGATATTTTTTGGAAAATCTTATTGAAATAAAGATTATTATAGATACAGAGGCCGATCCTATAGTTTTTAGAATTTTTGTTTGTCTGAATAGAATTTTTGATAATATAATAATAGAATAGTATATAATAATAGAATTTTTGTGTCAATCGTATCTAAAATGCTGACCGGGGATATAAGGTACCACCATGCAAAATTTCATATAAATCGGTACAACAGTTTCGGAGATTAGCCCGTACAAGCAGACAAACTGACAAACAGATAGAGAAACAAAAAATTGAAAAAAACCTGGATTTGGTCTATTTCTCTTCTGACATCCCCCTGACTCGGTTTTTTGCATTTTGTTTCTATGTACATACATTCGACCTCTACAGTTTTATTATATGTATAGATTTTAAAAACCGTATTCTGAAATACACTACAGACTCAAAATATTTTTAACCCTCAGTTACATGTACGCAGTGCCATGCTTATTTTTATTTTTCGTAATCTGACTACAGTATCGTCTAGCGGTCCACATGATACACGTATCTACCATCCAATAGTATCCGAGTAGCAGATGGACATAATGATACTGTTTATTATATGTATACCTATTTATAATGATAATTGTTTCGGTTTCGCCTTCTCATTACGGAACCGTAAAAAAATTATCAAATGGATTCATATATAACCGAAAATATCGTGTAACATGCACAAAAAATATAGACGATAAAAAAATCGGTCAAAAGTAAAATCAGCCAACCATTCATTCCCAAAGTCACAAATTTCAATACGGTTACGAATTACACGATACGTTAAACAGCACAAAACTTTTCTCCAAAGCCCATTTACATACAATTTCCGAGTAACTCTTAATAGCCAAAACACGGAACCAAAACCTTCTAGTAATTCTTATTTAACAGGAGTCATCCAATAAACGCACACGCCATTTAATGTCTTTGCAACCGTAAATTCGTGAAACACCGCCATAACTTTTCCTCAACAAAACTACGAAACAACGTGGATATTTATCACCTGATATTATTTCACCTTTCATAGCCACGAATAGCTGTTGTCATCTTATGCTTGGCTTAAATTTTATGAGCTTTAAGTTTTTGTTTAGAATTTAGATGTAAGAGCAACTTCGTTTTAAAATTATTATAGCATGACTTTAATCTTTGATTCATTTATTTTATAATTTTCGGAAGAAAACCTTTTAAAAGCAGAAAGCATTCATGGATGTATATTACTCTTTTTGTATATGCTACGGAACATCCTGGATATTATAAATTAAAAAAAAAACAAGTCTACGTTTATGAATTCGATCAATGTTTTTAGTCTATACATATAATAAAATTCTGAGTCAAATGTGTACATTAAATATTTTTTGGAAAATTTACATTATTATGGATACAGAGGAATCTATAGTTTTTAGAATTTTTGTCTGTCTGTCTGTCTGTTAGCGCATCACAGAAAAACTACTGGACGGATTTTGATGAAATTTGGTATGGTCATAGCTGATTATCCGGGTCAACATATAGAATAATTTTTACCGCGGAAAAATATCTCATTTCTGAGAAAAAATACAAAAACTGTAATGTAAGAGTATATTAATATGAAAAACCAAGAAATTGGTTTTTGGTCATCTGAACGCGGGCGGAGCCGTGGCGTAAAAAGTAGCCTATATGTTGACCCGGATAACCAGCTATCACCATACCAAATTTCATAAAAATCTCTCCAATAGTTTTTCTGTGATGCGGTAACAGACAGACATACAGACAGACAGACAGACAAATATTCTAAAAACTATAGATTGGGCCTCTGTATCGAAAATAATGTTTATTTCAATAAGACTTTCCAAAAAATATTTAATGTACAGATTGGGCTTAGTTACAATTTTATTGTATGTATAGATTTGAAAAAATGCCATTTTCATTACGTGACATATTAAATGAAAAGGCCATTTGATACGTCACAGGTTTTTCTTAATTCATTTGTTTAAACTATACGTGAGTCTTTGAATCTCCGAACTCTGAATAACATTTAAAAAAGTTTAAACTTTTTGAGTTTAATAGATACCCATAAAATAATCTCTCATAGACAGACAGACATACGAGTTTTTATAAGGATTCGGTTTTTACTATGAGGTATTCTAAAATTTATGTTATGACCATTATCATAGTAACCGTTTATAAAATATAAATAAAAAAATCACAATAATCATTTTTCAATAATAGATTCAAAATAAGCTGAAGCTGCAGAAAACGATTATTAAACGCATAACCGATGCCACATTTGGAATGTTGCCAGCTACCAACTAAATAAATACGAGAAAAATATTTGTTATAGAGCTATTGTCCGATGTTTTTTCCGGCGTTGCCTTCGTTTTTGTCCATAACAAAATAGATACAACTTTCAATCGCTCAATACATAAGGTTCAGACGAGTAAACTATAGGCATGAACTATTTCTTAATAATATACATATTGTAATAAATATATATATGTTGGGATATTAACACACAGCACCATCTAGCTCCATGGTGAGCTACGAGGCTTGTGTTATGGATACAAGATAGTTGATACACTACATATATATAACTTTAAATATATACATATTGTAAATATACACCCATGACTGGAGTCCAAACATTCGTGCTCATAACACAAATGAATGTCCCTAGCGGGACTCGAACCCGCGACCGCTGGCACAGCAAATAGGGTCACTACAGAGCCAAAACTTACCGTCAGTGCTGTAGTCACGTGCGGTGCTTAAACTAACCGTAACCTATGCGTTACTTCAGGGAATAGTCTATGTGTGTACTTCCAAATCCGTTCAGCCGTTTCGGCGTGAAGGAGCAACAAACTCGTACAATACAGGTACAAATCACTATAAAAATAATAGTCCAATTTCGCCTGTCTCATTGGTTAGCATGTACGGCTCCCCCCTCAAGTGCGTTCACCTTGTCGTGGTGGGAGGCTCAGTAGTGCCCGGTAATACTGCCGGGCGCGAAGCCAAGAAACGCACAGGGAGGCGGCCCGCTTCGGTGGGCGGTGGGAGACGGCCCTCTTCAGAGGGCGGTGTTCCATGCGGGTTGCTCCTGTTACTTCTCTGATAGCACAGTGGACCTTGGAGCAACCCCGTGGTTGTTGTGGTCTGCTTCGGCAGACCTGCCGTCGGGGCGTCATAGTTGAATGCGTAAGCGATCCTGCGACGCCCCATTAAGACGGGGGAAGGTTTTGTTGGGTTTTAGTGGGTAGTACTGGCTTCGCCGGTGAGTCCCACACTTCGTGCGTAAATGCATTTTCCAAAGTTAAAAAAAAAAATTACGGCTGCAAATCTGGAGCTCCTGTGTTCGAGTCCTGAGTCGGGTCAAGTTTATTGGCGTTGTTACTAGTTATATAACTGTGCCATAAAGTGAGAGTGAGAACAAATTACACATTGCTCGTAATCGAACCGGATGTTAAGAGTGCATATGTGTTTGCGCATAAATCAACACAGGCACTATAATAAAAACATAAAACATTATAGATATTTCCCGTGAAGAAGATAGTGTTAGTGAGATTAGTTATTTCACATCTCCAGAACCGTAATAATTTTAGTAGCTGTGGAATTTTGATTCGGTGTCATAATTTATTACATACTCGTAATTCTTAAAAGATAATATAGGTACATTCTCTTTTAAGAATATTTTTCATTTACAAAGGACCAGACAAACAGAAAATTAGTGTTTTTTTTTCTTCAATCTTCAATATGTTCTAAAAATATATCTTAAAAAATATTAAATGTACAGTATAAGGTAAGAATTTCAATAGTATTACTCTAAGACCGGACAGATCATCCACCTGATATGTGAATCTTACAAAAAAGAAATCTCAGATTAATTTCCTTTGTCTCGAAGTAAAGTTAATGTTTTGGTACAAAATATTTGTGTATAAATATTGTGGTTTATATTAAACCCGTCATAAAGCGAGATTAGTTTGGATCCTCCCTTTCATCGGCTTGCAACAATGCGGCACGATCTATCTTTGTTAGATTTTACAACGTTTACAATATGCTGAGAACGCTATAAAATTTAAGTCAAGCTGTAAAAATGCAGGTTGCTACATTTCAAAACACATTTTACTATTAAAATTCTATATATTCTAAAAAATTAAGTATTAAAATTTGCGACGCAGCAGCCGTGTATTATCTATACATATAATAAAATTGTAACTAAGCCTAACTAAGCTATAGTTTTTAGAATTTATGTCTGTCTGTCTGTCTGTAACCGCATCACAGAAAATCCACTGGAGGGATTTTCATGAAATTTGGTACAGTGATAGCTGGTTATTCGGGTCATTATATATGATACTTTTTATCACGGGAAAATATTACATTTTGGAAAAAAAACACAAAAACTGCAATGTAAGAATGTACTAATATGTAAAACTTAAGAATTTGGTTTTTGGTCATCTGAACGTGGGCGGAGCTGCGGGCAATGCTAGTAATATATAAGATTATACGAAACATTTGCAGCCACCTTTAACATCTATAAATATAAACACATAAATATATAAACACATGAAATTTGGTTCATTTAGATTAAATAGAATTCCAAATTTCATAAATACAGCTCAAACTGTTATTAAGATATTAATGTCTATAAATCGGCATTTTTATCACTGACTGATTATATTTAGCAATTTTAATTAGTTTTTAAGTAATAAAATACAATAGTGGGTAGAGTTAAAAATAAATTATCCTTTATTTGTAAACTTAACATCAGATTCGGTTTGTCTAACTTTATCTAAATGCACGATATATTTCATTAAATCTTTTACATCCACATCCAATTTCACGACTTTTTCATATAATTTTATAATTGCATACAATACCAGAAAACGCTCTTGATAATTCTTCATAGTAGTAAATATGACCATTTGCTGCCGTTTTAAATTTCTTAGAAGAGCAAAACAGTAACCTATTCGATATCGCAAATTTTTGTTGTACTTCTTTCGCAATAATTGAGCATAAGGTAACTGGTATCTTATTTGGTATACAAATTGTGCCATCAGCTGTACAATTCTATTCTTTCTATGATTAACAGTAGCTCCACTCATAGACATATAAAGACCTCTCAAATTAGTATCGTTAGAAGAGTTCTGAATATTATTAAATCTTCTCGTTTGTATACTTATTTGGTCCTCATCTTCAAAATTGGGTAGACCACTCACATGAGATTCAAGCAAAGTTTTAATATCCAATTTAGTTTTCCTCAAATGAAGTTCTTCTAATGTAAGATTTTGTCCATACATTTTGGGTGCATTTTTCGTTACAACGGTTGCTGTCCTCTCAGTCATATCGGATGCTGAAATTTTTGTAGTACTTTTGTAAATTGGGACGCTTAGTTGAAACTTTCCCTTATGTACATTCTTAAGCATCATATCCATGAGTTCATCTGCTTGCACTTCATATATTTCTTTCATATGTATAACAGATATATATTTTGCAAACAAATCTAGGGGAAAATAATATTTTATATTATTTACTTTAAATCTAACCTTTGCTTTACTAGAATATGTCCCTAAATATCTAACAGTAGTCTATCATGTACTCCAGACCATACTATCTATATACTAAATTTCATTGAAATCTGATCAACCGTTTCAGAGTGTAAGTCGGAGTCATATAAAATTCGAACTATAAAATTAGTGTGATAATTCGCTTATTTTTTGTATTATATATATAATTTATCATCAAAAATTATTATTTGTAAATGGACACTGTTAAATTATATTAATATAATATGTAGTGCAAATTCCTACAAGATTTTGGCAAGGAAGATGTATACTATTGCCCATTTCTATCTCTATACATAGACTTCTATGTCGCAGATGTCAAAAGAAGCTATTACAAAATTTGTAGATCACTCAATTCTCTACAAGATGGAGTTACATTTGGTGTTATGCGAGTTGGGATGTACTTTTAAAGACCAAGTTAGAAACACAGTAAATTACTGTCAAAGGTCTAAAAGGTCTCAGAAAAAAATTGTTTTAATAATTAAAACTTACGTATAATAAAGAAACTATAAACCCTTTTAATCATTTCCAAAAGCAACATAAATTATTACAATTTGCGCCATTCCGTTGATAATAATCTATAATTTGTTTATTGTCCGCAAATACATTGCGATATAATCAGTGAATAATGAGAATTTTATTACTGTATTACTGATTAAAATCGAATGTGCAGTTAAATTTAAACTATGATTTATTCATATAATGGTACTACATCAGGAACTAACGACTTACCCTCGCTTTGCTCAGGTGCGAGCGATAAGCGAATTTTCTTCACAATTCGGTGACACGTTTGGCTCAGTTTGTAGTGACCCTACTTGCTGCGCCAGCAGTCGCGGATTCGAGTCCCGCTGGGGTCATCATTCATTTGTGTGATGAGCATGAATGTTTGTACTCCAGTCATGGGTGTTTATATTTATAAGTATTTAAAGTTATATATGTATAATGTATCAACTATCTGGTATCCATAACACAAGCCTCGTAGCTTACCATGGAACTAGGTGGTGTTGTGTGTTAATGTCCTGAAAAAAAATATCATAGATTTAATTTTTTGCGGGGTACCCTTGAAAATATAAATAGCCTCAGTTGCTCCTTCTAACATCAGTTATATCTGCCGGTGGAGATTCCATCAAAATTAATTCAGGACTTTCGGAGATTAGCCGGAACAAATAGACAGACAAACAGACAAAAAAGTTAAAATTATTTTTTTCTTATAAGTACCGTATACAACTTTATATGGATTTAATAACAAGCTGTTATTGTGATATTACAAACAGACACATACATTTAATTTATATGTATAGATTTATTTTAGTAGAGGGTAAGTCGCTAGTCAAAAATATTTTCGTAATACTTAAATAATAACCTATAACGAAGGACGCCTCTGGTTGCAACTGAAGACTTTTTTATTCGTACATGCATAGAATTCTCCTTATTTGCGACTGGTTCTTAAACTTTAATTTATAAGATAAAGGATTTCTCGTTTCCGTTTATTTATTAATTATTAATAACTTACAAAATCATTTATAAATAACTAGTTTGAAGTAAAAGTAATAAAGGTTACATGGAGATAAAGACTAAATAAACGGTAAACCAATTACCAAATAATTAGATTTCGTTTCCGTCGAGGCGAGATTATAAGCTAAGTTAAAACCTCTCCAAGACCACATGTGCTGGGCTGAAATTCCATCCTCACACGGTACTAGCTATACCGTCACGTTCCAAGAGGCTTGGCAGCTCCTACGTATGCCCCACTATTGGAAAATGGAATTTATTACCGACTCACGTGTTTCCCTCCTCATATAATCCTGGATCTTTCAAACGGAGCATGAAAAAACATCTGTGTAGGTGGATGAGGTGCGGTTGATCATTACCGAGATTTTGTCTCAGAACTGATGGATCTCATTTCTGGATTCCACTGTCGCTTAACATCAGGCGACATAGAGTCAATTTGTCGAGCTGTTATAAAAAGAAGAAAATATAAAAATAAGATTATTTTAATATAAAAATATGCAAATAACATTTTACAAGATAAATTTTAAGAAAACCAAACAAAGCTTTAAGATAAGACAATATTAATCAAGTCGGAAATAACGATTTATTAACAAAGACGATATTTTAAGGCAACGAATACTCATTACCGCGGTTTTTCGGCCATTCATCACCGCTAAAAAGGTTTTTGTTTACACCATTATCCTAGATAAATTATATCTTATTATTAAAATATAGCAACTCATAGCTATCCCGCGCTTACAGTATTGGTATCCCATGGGATTTACTTTATCCAGGGCAAAAAGTAGCCTATCTTTCTGATTCTTTAAACAATTTTCCAAGATTTCCAAAACTTGACATCGACCTTTTGCTATGTTCTTGCATGTAACAAGGACACACTTAACACACTTTTAACTTTCAAACATTCTAGTTAAACGTGCATGATTTAAAAAAAAAGCTTTTTTAAGTAGTATGCGAACACCTCAGACATTTTTCGTGCCTGTTTTTGGGTTTTGGTTTTATTTTATCGTGATTTTTTTATAAGGTTACATAATCTTGCGACCGGAAATAGTTCATGCCAGCTTTTAGAGTAGTTATTATGCTGTGCTGATGATGTGCTCTCAAGTCTTCTTCGTCTTTTGTGTTCATAATTCTATCTTTTGGAAGGTGGATTCTTAACGAAATTAAAGACAATCCTTAAGGTATAAACCTACTTATTAAAGGCCATTTAAGAAAACTTAATATAAAGCAATCATTCACTTTTGCCGAAGAAATTGTATATTATACACAGGAATTCTTTAAACATTGTAAAATGAAGTTTCGTTTAAACCCCTGATATCTCTAGAAACATGTTTGTAGAGGTGTTAAATAAATAGACGAGAACTGAAAAAACATTTTTAAACATTAATCTCTTAAAGCGGTTAAGTTCTTTAACTTCGTTATGATTAAAGTTAGATATAATAAGAAAATCAGGGCTTGTATAAAGTCCTCAACGTCCCACTGCTGGGCACTAGTCTCCCTTCAATAGCCGTACCAGTTGGCGGACTTCGCATATCTTTCAAAAATTGGCTGGGATTTCTCAGACAAGCAAGTTTCCTCACGATGTTTTCTTTCATCGTAAAACAAAATGTATGTAGAAAATTGATTAAATGATGGATCGAGGCCTAAATTTTTATTAATGTACTGCTTTTAAATATATTTTTTTCTTAATAGTAACAAATCATATCTATACTAATATTATAAAGAGGCAAACTTTGTTTGTTTGGACGCGCTAATCTCAGGAACTACTAATCCGATTTGAAAAATTCTTTTTGCATTAGATATTCCGTTTATTGAGGAAGGCTACGGGCTATATATTATCAATTATCATGCTACTACCCAAGAGAGCGGAACAATAATCATAAATGTCAACAAATCGGGCAAACTTCACAGTAAGAGGACGAGACATTAACAAGAGTTTTTTTTGTACTTTGAACGTGGGCAAAGCCGCGGTTCTGCTAGTAACATATATAACTATTGATAGCGAAAGTAAAACCTAGTTAGTGTACGAAACATGGTCTCTAATTAATTATACTCTGTATTCTATTGAAATGTTAGTACCTCTTATAATTCACTGCTCGAGCTCTTTTAAATACCCAACCGCTTTCATAAAATAATGGACGTTTGAATTATACCCTCTTCCATTTTTATCTCTATGCCATACCTATGTAATTATATTCTATTTTTGTATTTGTATTTAATTACGTTGACCTACTTTTGGCGATATATATTTTTAAACATGAATTTTAAATGTACAAAATAGTATAAAAGTAGTTCCAATAAATAGAAATGAATATGCTGGGACATTAACCCCAGCACCATCTAGTTCCATGGTAAGCTACGAGGCTTGTGTTATGGATATCAGTTAGTTGATACACTACGTATGTGTGTGTATATATATATATATATAATATATATATATATATAACTTTGTATACATACATATTATAAATATAAACACTCATGACTGGAGTATAAAAATTCGTGCTCATCACACAAATGAATGCTCCCAGCGGGACTCGAACCTGCGACCGCTGGCACAGCAAGTAAGGTCACTACAAACTGCGCCAAACGTGTCGTCAAAAATAGTGATTTAAAAAGTCATCAAATATAATTACCACGGCATTTGGTATGCGTGGTGGACTGTGGTCTGATCCCATTCCCATCCCCATGGAAATTAAGCTCGTGCTAAGTGCCTCAAGCCGTATATCTTAATAATTTAACTTCACAATTGTTTACAGTTTATCTAATATATTCAATTCTCTCAAATAAAATTTAATCAAAATATACATAAATTAAATACTTTCTTATAATTTTTTCTATAAATTGACATTTAAAATGATAGAAATTAACATTATTATGTAAAAACTGTCTATTGTTAGCATTCAAAGAAAAATATACAGGATTTTTTTTAGCCGTTAACATCCCCATAGTGACCAAAGACCTCTCTTTTCTCCTTTCTCTCTGCTCTATTTTTGGCGATGACCTGCTGCCGTATCGTTTAACATTTTGTGGAGTCCAAAACGTAATGGACTTAGTCCACATTTCGGCAGACACGCAGCAGTTTGCAGTCCAGTCCCACTTCAATTGAGATCTAAAAAAGCAAAAATAAAATAATTGAAATGACTAGGTTACGTAACTTGAAATGATCTAGCTGTGAGTGTTAAATCGATTGTAGGTCACCGACACTGTGACGTCATACAGAAACTCGGTTACGGAATGAATAAATAAAGAGATGTCGCCTCGCCAACGCTAGGGTTGCTTTGGCAAAAGGGCAAATTTTATAATAAAATAATTTATACATGATTTTACTTGTTATATACTTGGATGTATGTGTGTTTGTTAGACTTTCGCTCTAACGGCTGGAAGGAATTGGATGA